TGCAGTGCAGTGCTAATAATCTCGCTAGAAATTGAATGTCCCAAAATAAAGCAATTCTGGCTGTTGGAAGGTAAGTCATGGAAGGTAGGCTTTCTGAAGTTTGAGATTAGCTGTTTAAAAGGGGTCGTGTATAGGTATAGTTAAGACACCAAGATAAGCTGTAAATGCGCATTTTTCTTTTTGTTAAAAAAAACTCTTCTCACTCAAGGCAGATGCGTATTGAGGTATTTATATATTTATATATATTACCACGCTTGACTAACGCACTCACTTAAAATATATTCCCTCATCATATCATAGGCACGTGCTCCGTACAGGCATCAAAACCTTACATCCTTTGGGACACTAGGACCAAAGGGTATGCACTCCTAGAAGTTACTCCATATTCACAGAGACCGGCCTAAGGTCGGGAGGTCCTTAAACGCCTTAGGTGCTGCAGAGATCGGCCGATCGAATCAGATACCGACTTTGGCTGCAGTTTGGCTCTATTCCCTTTGCCGTGCTTCTTTCATTATTTCGACTTGCTTCCTTTCTTTAGGTCTTATCAGAGCTTTCAGAAGTCGGCAGCGGCATGCAGATAATGCGCTGAGAATTGGTATCCTAATCTTGGATAAGCACGAGCACCTACAAACGACCAATTCTTATTGCGCTTATGGACGTTATGATGAGGGGCCGATCTCAATAACCGATCCTTGAAGTATGGAAATATCATAACACAAGATAAAAATGCCTGCAGACCTGAGCGCGGCGCGGCCGTACCTTTGAGCTGGAGCGCAGTATATAAGCTGGGGATTTTTTCTTTCTAGTAGGTTTTCTAAGTTTTCTCACCATTCCCCTAACTTCAAAAATGTTTAATCACACGATTGACCTAATTACATTATAGATTCGTGTTTGCTTTTTTTGCCAAACTACAAATTCAGAAATTTTATTGTGATTTTTCGACATTATTTGAGCAAATCTCTTAAGAACCCCTTTCTATCTTCCATTCCCGCAAAAAACAACTAATTTCTGATATTACCACGTTGCTATTTGAAATGCCGGCGTGCCACCCTCTTGCGCGCAGAGGTTTTTGTAATCTTATGTTATGAAATGACTATGTATTATTCCTAACTTGCGGCAGATAACTT